TAGGAAAATTATATGAGACCGAACCAAAACGATCGATATATCGATCTATTTAGACAGGCTGTTTAGACAACAAAATACTCGAATGTGCCGGCCCGATAGACTCGCTCATCAATTACAAGGGAGACTTTCGGGTGGAGTGAGTTCCCGTGAAAGATCACAGCAGGCTCTTCGGCTGCATGGTCATACGATACCTGTTTAACGATTGTCGGCAGTGGCAGTTGGCAAGATGACTAACAATGCTGAGAACACGCATGACAACTCGTCCAAATATCTGGTGGGCGGATCTAACACCAGATACGCCTTAGTTTTGTCCGAATCTTTGTTCACTACAATATATTGATCAAATTATGACCAAAGACTGATCTAGTCCATTTTTTGTTAAACCACTGTTCGTTTGAATGCCGCCACCGCTGTGAGGCGCAGCTGCCATCGCCGACGGCTGTGGCGGCCAAATGTCTCACTGATATATAAACAGCATAACGACCACGAAAATCCTAAACAACTATTCAATCAATCGGGCTAGTAAACAAATCGAAAATAAGAAATTGAGGGCACCTTATGTGGGACAAAAACGATCACTGCCCAATTGCCCCCCTTTTGAAACACTTCCACCCCGAACAACTCGTCATAACTCAAGTAAGCCTCACGATCCCATGATGAATGCTGTCCATGAGAAAAAAGAAAAAAAGAACTCAAAACTGCTCCATCAAAAGACATCACAGTAGAAGAACTATTGGAAGATTACGGTGGAATTGAAAAGTGGGTCCCGATGGGATTGCCGAAGACTCGCAAGAGAAAAACGATTGGGTGACTTCGATCACGAAAAGTTTGCAGAATTACGGTAACTATGCGTCGTTCACTGAAGTTTTGCGGACAATCTGTTCTATGCATAGGAAGGAACTGAGGCCAAAGCCAACACGAACAGCATTTAGTTGCACTTCGTGGAAGAATCGATTTGGTTGAAACTGAGGATGGTGTTAGGAAGCTCTCTAGGGACCAATTAGAGGGGGTGTCGAAGCGCTTTTCAGACCTCATTGGGCAGACCTTCTGACGAGGCGTAAACTTCCGGGATGTTTCAGGATTTCAGGATTTTCGGGATTTCACTGAAAAGCTTGTCAGATTCCGAATCGAAGGCCGATGAACCGTTCGAGCAATGACAGTTTATAACGACGGATTCCGACGGAGGTATTCAAAGTCAGATTTTTCGAACAAAGGGAGGAGTTTACGTTTACGCGGTTTTAGCCTATACGAGAGAATATCTTGGGATCCCCATTTGCAGCCGATGAGCTTTATCATGATAATTCTGAGATATTCAGCTGAAGTTATGGTGCGGGACAGTGTGAAAATAACAGAGAAAGCGCAAAAATCGGCGAATCATAAGGAAAATAAGACCTCAGAAAAGGGGTTAGGAAGAAGATTGTACGAGATTATGTGTCTGTACCCGTCTGGGTCTCTCTCGCGTAAGCGTACTATTTCACGGTGTCCCGACGCTTCATTGTAAATGGTGTGCCATAGACAAGGTCGTCATAACACGGCCACTTTTGGGTGGGTATGTCGGTTGAGCCGATTTCGGAACCCTTGCGACGACGTCCTATCGAGGTCCTCTTCCGGCCAAACAATGTCCCACATGCAAACATGTGGCTCACAGGTTCATCATGGGTAAATCTTAGTAAAATTCTTTAACGTGAACTGTGTTTTTAGGGCATCTAGGAACTTGACCAGACAACAAAACGATTGTGGCAAGTGATCTGGGAGGGGTTCAGGTGGCCAAAGTGAACCATTCCGACACCGCCCACATTCGTCCGCTGTCTAAATTTTCACCGGCACATGTGTGACTCGATCAACGACGGCATCAATCAAAAAACACGCAATCGGCGATGATCGCCAATCGGCTAAGTGAATGGGATTTTTTCCCACGGACAAACAAAAGTCATTGAAATGAAGGTGAATAGCGATGTCAGAAAACCGCAACGCCAAAAAAACCACATTTCATCAGTGGCTTCGCTTTGTTGTTGTTATGGCGGACCGATTGATGAAGACGATAGCCGAAAAGTTTTTCCTCTTGAAAAGTAAAAGCGATAATTTCTCATGAAGACGAGCATTTACGATCTAATTAGACCCGAAAAAACATTGACAAACTGCTTCTCTGGATGAAATCACAACACATCAGAAAAACACCCGGCAAACGAACTTTGCTGCCAAAATGAACTTCAGCCAATTTGGGAGCTTCGCGACTTGTCCTCTGAAAACCCGCCTTTTATAAAAAATACATTCACAACCACGATTTTCACATAAAAACCCATGCGAAGAAAATCACATAAAACCCTCAGATAAGGCGCGGAGGGACGTAAACAAACTCCACCCACTCGACTAAGCTCCGCCTCCTGAATTCGATTACGAAGTGGACGGTAGAGGAACAGTAATATCCTTATCTTATAGTAGACATCATCTTTCAAACTGGTTCCTCTCGAAGATGGGACCACAGGTCCAATGAATACAGAAGGTTTTTAAATTAGTATAATTGAAGAATAATTTTTTAAATTAATGCTAATATTTACTTAATTTTAATTTTTCCATTTTTGACGTGGAAATGGGAAAAAAGTCCCAATAGTTCGAACGATATTTATCAATGAGCAAGATTCTACGCGTTAACCCCTCCCACATACTAAACCCCGCCCCTGTCGTAACATCAAAGGGCAAGGTCGTATCCTGCAAAAGAGACCACAGGACCACAAACTTCAGACATGTTTCAAAACAAATTGTGGAAAGAAATCGTTCAGCGGAACCGCGAAAAAAGCGCTGGTCAATCCCGAAAAACTTTTGGCCACCTTCGCTCACCTGGGAGACTTGCTAAGACTAGACTGGGAAGTTGAAAACAAACAAAAAAGATTATTTAGCGGTATCTTCCTTTTCAATCTTTAAGTAAATGACTATTCGAAAGGTTTTATCTCAGGAACAAGGTAACTCTGAGCTAACCAGATACGATTACTCTACTAGAAGTGAAGTAAAAGAGCAAAGGGCCTCGGGAGACAGCTGCTGGGTGCTTTCGTGGAACAACATCGCTTGGCGACATTCGAAACCTGTACGGAGCAGCATCACATCAGCATTGAGTTACGGGGAAACTGGTAAGGAGGACGGCCATTATTATCAAGAACTTGAGCGCTAACTCATTTTGACAATTGAAACACCGAAAAACATCAATTCCGAGCGAAACCGTTCCGGCAAACAGTTCAGGAAAAGTCAGTGCTACGGTTGATAGCTGAAGATGGTTTGTTCGAACGTTTTTTGGGGTCTACCATTCTAAATGGCTACAGGTTTGAAATAAGATGCGAAGTGCTTATCAGCCACTTGAGCCTGTGATCAGAATTAATCAAATAGTACTCCAAACAATCTGAAAGATCTAGTTTAGTCAATGCGACATTAGGTTCGGTCGCTTTTTCACGGATACACCATTAAAAGGTCGCATGATTGAGCGAAATGAGCCAAACCTGGCTGAATCACGGAAAACTTTCGGGAGATGCATTACTAATGAATTTTCGACGCCATGGTGGCAAGCGGAGAATTCCGGTCCCAGAAACATGGCTACAGTAGGAACTCCCACCATCGGACGCTGTCAGTGAAAAAAAAAACATTGTAGGAAGATAAAGTAGCGCAAAATATGCACTGAAGGCTAGCTCTGTGATAATTCTTAATACGCTGAAACTTAACTCCAACCACACTCTAAAACCTATGAAACATGCGATTTGAATCGCGGAGGGGCGGGGTCAGACTGCCGCGTGCGGTTGCGCGGCGGCTTGCTCAACATGTTCGACACATTGGGGATTAATGCTATTGATGCGGATACTGTCATCGAAGTTCATCACCAGAAAAATTAGATTGCATTTCTATTGAGCCTCATTCATTTGAAGTACTGAATGTTGTACTACTAAATGATTCTTCTTTAATGCGCTGCGCCCTCACTTCCTCTTCGAGTTGTGGACATGATTGAAAGGGTGAACAAAAAACTCCACGAAAGCAAGTTCTTCCTCTTTTCTACGAAAAGATCGTAGTGGTTGGCAGTGGAAATGACTGCAACGAGGAGAAACTCCCTCTGATAGCGTCAAGCCAACGATGGCCATCGCCTAACTATATTGACTTCCGACTTGGCTCGCAGAAATTTGAAAAAACATTCTGCTATTTGATATTTGCAAGGGAAATTTCGATTTGCCAGAGCCGGAGACGCAGCTCAGAACCCCATTTCTCTAGACCGATTGCTTCTTTTTGCAGTACATCACACCTAACCGCATCTGACTGAAAGCATCCATCATCTTCAGCACATTATCCACACTGATAACAAATGAGCTGACGGCACCACGGCAATCATTAAGAACGATCAAGTGCAAACGTTCCTGAGCATCGATCGATTATCGATTTCAAATGGCCGCTAGATTTGATGGGGGGTTTTCTACGCTTATCAAAGTGTTCATGACCGGTTGACCTTGGCTAACCTCTAAAAACATTCAAGTACGCAGCTGGAGATAGGTTTCTCTTTACCTCTTCACTACCTGAGCAAATGAGATTACGGTAGAGAAGAAGTCAGGACAGGACTGTTTTTTTTAGCAAATTCAACAGAGCTTCAAAGCTACAGTACACCTGTGGTAAAGAGGAAAGAATGAGCTGAGCCAGAAAGTCGATTCGGAAGGATTGAATGATGGTGGAACTAATAAGGTGCGAAAGTAGGACGAGAGATGTAAAAAAATCCACCCAATCCAATGAAAACCACTGTCATGACAGATTATACCGTAAACCACACAATTTCCAAGCTTACCTCGATTGAACCACGGTATTTGGGTATAGAACGTGAGCAGCTTGCCACTGAAGGTGCCCACCATCGTCTGTGTCAGTTGGTTGGACGAAGCTATTAAGCATACGAATGCTTGAGGCCAGCCTTCCACGCAGGACGCAGAGAAGCAAACGTCTGGCGGCCGTACAGGATTGAATGAACGGGCCGTCTTGCGATGATGGAAAAGTCACGCCCGATGCTGCTGGCCGCCTCCGCTGTGGCGAAATTCGAGACGACCACCACCACGACGACGGACGGCCAGCACAAAAAGCTTTCGGAAGACGAACGAAGAACGGCGCGATCAATCCCATCAGTCGGCACGACGACTCGGTCGCCGTTATGTCCGACGTGGATCAACGAAAGAAGTCAGAATGCCGATCGAAATCGTGGACGAGTTTAACAGAGCACGGAGAACGTCCTCTACAGCATAGCAATTATACAACATGTGAACAAGGTTGTAATCAGTCGTTCAACCGACCCTCTTTCTGCAGTTATGCGAAAAACCAGGTCTCCTCTTCATCAACGCCTTTATAGACTTGTTTCTTCGTCTTCTTGCAATAAAGAAAGCTTCAAAGAGGTTTCTTGGGCAGAATTGCATCGGACAACTGTCGCAAAGGCTATCATTACTGCATGAAACCTATAGGAATGTCCTTTCTGTTGGATATTCGGCCTGTAGTAACTCGTCCTTCAAACAGAATTCCTGGAATGCACCTGTAGCCAATCAAACCCTTCACGATTACAAATTTGACCATTCGGGAACGAGCCTATCCAGATGTACATCGACCGTCTACCAAACTAAATGATCTAAGCCGAGTTTCAATTAATTAAACATTTGCTTGCGTGGAAGTCGGATGCGTGGCGTGTCCCAAAAAGCAATGGAATCGAATTTCCGCTTTTTGAGTCGAGTTATGGAAGGCAAAATGGATTTTCACTCCCCGTTCAAGTGGATGTAAGTTCTTTCCTGAAATTGGGACCTTTTCTAATGGTATCCCCATTTGGTCTGTTTGGCATCCACAAAGACGAAGTATAGGTCCGACACGATTCAATTACTTCCATGACTTAGGGGAGGACCACAACTTCACGGCTTATCCTTACGGGTCGAGATAAGTGCTAAAAAGAAGTTCCTCCTCTTCTCAGATCATTTGCGACCCGCCCTTACACCAGTCATAAACTGCAAATATGGACAAATGCGATAGCTCCAAGAACACAAATAATAAGTGATAATTAGAAATGATAGTGAATGATAATTAGAAATTACAATCTAAACACCTGAAAAAGTTCTTCCAAAAGCTCTTTTTGACGGATATTTCTTGAGGGAATTCATGATTAAATCGGAAGTAAGTAGCAGAAAGACACATAGGTGGACCAGACCTATACAAGTGAGAGCATTGAGCATGAAGTGAATTATACAGCAGCTCGTAGAAGAGCTACTTTACACCTCCGTCGTCAAGTTCCTTTCGCCCACAAATAAACACTTAAAGAGTTCCCGTTTGGCAGAAATCGAAGCAACTGGCTAATCTCGGAATGGATCTTCGATTTTGGGAAAAACACAAAGCTACCTGGCGTGGTAACCGGTAGGAGAGGGCCTATGAGAGGCCTTAAAACTTCTTTATCTCCCCCTGAATGATCTCTTCGAATTCAGCCACAAAGTACTCATAAAAATCCGCAGAAAGCCCTTGACAACCACTTAGCAACTCTTTGAAGGGGCGCCTGTAGGGACGCCATTAAGGGCGATGTGTTTTTACCACGTGTCCCTCTCCTCTAGAATAACATAGCGCAATAAAAGCAAACACCGGCTCGTCTCATCGAAACATGACGCCCTCGAATGGCGAAACAGCCGCCTCAAACAACATAAAACCCACTAAAATCGTACTGTTCCCAAAAGACTGGCAGAAAACCCGATGGGAAGAATCGATGATAACTAGGTGTCGGAATAGAAGGGAAGCCATTGGCATTGATCAACCAAATTCTCATAGATTACAAAGAAGGAAGCATAAAGGAAAATAATTGTCAAAACGTACCGTATACAGTGGTCCGTCTGTTCTCACGATTCGTTGTATTCCGCAAAATCACGTCACGGGCAGTCGGCTTGGCCGCATCTGCGACGCGCCGCGGTACGAGCGGCGTCGCCTGCTTCGTTAGGCAACAGCGCATTGCGTCTGGAATAGCTTTTTTGTCATAAAATAAAGTACAGTAAACGTTTGAAACACTCGAGAAAAAGCCGCCCGCCAACAAACAGGATACTGTCATAGCATAGGGAACACGTGTAATGTAACCCAGAACAACCAGATGGAACCAGATCCATCCCCAGCAACAAGTTCTTTGAGATGAATGATTTCTGCTTGATTGCCACTCATGGAAAGTGTAGCGAAGCCGTCAAGTTTCACACAGATCTAACGGGCATTCCACACATTCCCCTAGCTCAGGCCGGATACTTACGAATTGCAAAACGAGCACATTGTAGGCGTAAGTCGATCGAATAGGAACAATCAGAAGTCAGGATTTGGTCTTCTAGTCATGAACATGGTCTTCGTTCACAGACAAACTTCTAACAATTCTTTAGTACGTCCAAAATCCCGATCATTACTTTTGCAACTAGCAAACATAGACCTTTCTCTAGAGGGGGTGGTAGGAGGGCGTGTGGAGCAACGCCTTCTAGTGCAAGGACCGCCCACTTTTGTAGTCCAATTTATGGACAAGTGAATGATCGGAAAGGACATTGACGAAAATTCTCAGAGGTTTTATACACATGGGTGAAGCGCAGGAAAACCGCAATAACTGGTACCACCCTTACAGGAAAAGAAAGTAGGAAGATGTACTTCAAGACCTCCGTGGGATTGCGACGTGCAGTCGATTTTTCCAAAAATCAAGAAGGAATTCGCCATGTTGGTGGGCATATCGATCCATGAATTTTCTAGGTGACTGCCAGCTATTCCAGCCGCTAGGCCCGATATCATTTCAAAGACGAGTGATTCATTAAAAAACAACCAACTACGTCCAGCTTGCTTGACTGGTTTGTACATTTTTTTTGTTTGTTTCTTTTTATTTTTTCATTGTTGTTGTGAAAATGCCTTGTTGAAAATTTGTATTTCTTATGAAGGATAAAGTTTTTGGCATTAATCAATCTCGTTTGAGGGATGCGCCACCCAATCGACTTCCATTCAGAATCGTAGTGGCGTAATGAGTGCCTGTGTGGCCTATACAATGACTTGCGGTGGCCAGCCGATGGACAAGTCAGCGCTTTTATCCTCCCAGACGAGTCTGTACCAACTCACCGATCCCGGAGGGATGGAAGGCTTGATTGGCCTAGGCGGATATCGATCCGGGATTCGAACCCCTGACCATGCGTGTGTGTTAATGCGCCACTTGCCACTACACCACCTCCGCCCCTACTTCTCGTACCAGTACATTTACAGTCATTTTAGCATATTTTTTATACGTTTTGATAGCAATCGAATGTCTGAGTCGTCTAAATTCAATACATTTGAGAAACTACGCGTTCCAGAAATTTCCATAGCTCGTTAGGTTGCCACAGGTTTGTCACGAAACACCATCGAAAACCAAAAATTATAAAAATATCGAGAAAATATATGCTGAAGGCATGGCTGGCATTTGACTAGGCATTTCGGAAGAGATTCGAAGCAGAACAAAAACTTCTCGATCCGATGGAATGGAGGCCAAGATGAGAATTGCCTTGTTAGAATGGCTTTTTGTCAGAACACGCCCCCTTCGGTACGGGTTTTGGCCACGCCTTTCAAAACTGGATCAATTCTCTGTGTAATAAAATGTGATTTTTTTATGGCATCACATCGAATGATATACGATATTCGATCTAATGAAACTTAAAACTTCGATGAGAAGAGGTCCCAGTTTGTCCATGAAAAATGTTCTTAATTGTCTAAATCGTCTTCATCTTTAAAGCGAACCGATTCCACAAAGTCAAAGACAATTAACGCAACGCAAATTGGGAGCCGGGAAGAGAAAAAGAACTTGAAATATCGGTCAGACCCAAATGAATGCAACAGCTGAAGAAGAAACACTCATAATATGGGCTAGGCCCGTCTGATTGCCCATATTCAGAAGAAATCAGTGTGACTGGCACTGTTCTTCGAGTATTCAGAAGTCATCAGATGAAACGTACTCGACCGATATTTCGAAATCCAGAACTCTGAAGGTTGCTATCAGACCCTTGCTCTTAGAAAAGGCTCCTTATGGGGAATGCCTGACAGGATGCCTCCATGCAGCACTTCCTGTTTGGGATTACCCAGAAACGTTTTCGGATCAAAGTCGTGGCGGCATCTATGATTAGCTCTCAACACGAGGGATTAGTTACTCCACTCCCATTCATCAGCTAACTAATGGGTATGGGAATGATAATGCAGCGACCCAGTAATCCGCCAGATACTATCCTAATCTTACTGAGAAATCCGACGTTATATTCGGAGCATGCCGCGATGGACGAAAACATTAAAAACTTTATAGGAATATACCTTGATGTAATTGATTTCAACGTACATGAAAAGTCGAGGGCATGGCGCACTCCCATGGGGACCGGTCATTGTTTAAGGATCTCTTTTGGTGAGCATAACTATTGGATTTAGTTGCATATAACCATTCAATATCGTACCAATATCACAAAAGGACGATTGGGCGATTCTCGATCATACAAGTATGCGCCATGAATATAACTTCAACGCAGAATCAGAATGTAATGAATGTACCAGATAAAGGTGGGTTCGGCAGCCAGGATTCCTAAGATTTCCTTGTCCGCAATTTTCCGGTTTTTTAAACTCTTTCTCACTCTCCCCGCCCTCCAAAGCACAATTATGACTACCCAGCAAATTTGAATATTTTTTTGAGAGTGGGACGCTCTGAAATAGGATATTTTAGGGGAGAAGTAAGTGGGAGAGTGGAGAAGAGGAGCAGTTCCCGAGTGAGTTTTAGGAACCAAGCTGAAAACAAACAGGCTTCACTAATCGACTGGATTAGGGGGAAGAATTAAAAGGCTCAAAATGCCGTCAGAAAATCATGCCGCTGTTGCTGGTGTACATAACACTAGACTGAGCTGTTAGTTGGTTTTTCTCCGACAGAAGGCTTGAATTAATAAGCTGGAGACGAACTTCTGCAGATCTTCATCTATGCAATTATCCCCACAATACCACAAAGAAAATAGGCACGTGGCGTACCTCCAAACAGAATACAAACCAAATAGCTAAAATTGCAAATGGTGACAAAAAATCGAATAAACACGGCTCAAGACAAACTCGGTCATCTTCTGGTCTTACCAGTACGACAGTAATTGCCAATTCCAAATTCTATCCCGAAGAACTTTGAGAGGACTATTGATGGGAATGGGAGATTTGATTACTGTTGAAACGGATTGCAGCGGCGTTTGAGGTTTTTCCAGCCTTCTGGGAGCCTTCACATTTGAATGACAACCAGAGTGGGGCGGGAATCAAAAAGAGTCAGACGGCTGATGCTCGAGACCGATTAAACGCGCCTGACATCTAGCCACATCAGTACGAAAATGAAGAAGGAGGTAACTCGGACGATGGGAGGGGCAACCCAAATTTTTGATCTTGTCAACTTGTACGGCTTTTGCATTCCAACAATTAGTTCTTAATTTTGTCAATTTGGGGAGGTTCCAACGAAAATTTTGTGAAAGGAAAAATAGGTTCACAAGGGAGGAACTCTGCACTTCTGAGGGAACTCGCTTGACTTGCTTGACCCTCTTCCTCAAAAATGGCCTTTCCAATGGGAATTAGAAATGCCGAACCAATTCAACACAATGCAAGGCGACACAATGACTCCCCAGGGGGACGCCAAAATCTGCCCGTTTGTCTTCGACAACGCGTTGGCGTTGAGGAAGTGGAACAAAACCCTGGCGGCAGGGCTTCTTCCGTTGCACTGATAAAGAATGGTTCAGCTGAAATTTTGGGTCGCCATTCCGACTTCCCGAGTCGGTAGCACCCTGACTCGATCGGCAGCAAAAAAGTCAAATAAGTGAAGAGGTTATCTGGTTGTGAAAGACTTCCTATCAACAATTCTATGACTAACAGGTAAACAAAGTTTCTGTAAACATCCTTCGGGTCGGGTAATCGAAAAGATCTTATCACAAATAGGGTCATGGAAATCAGTAGCGATCTTTTCGAACACAATCTTACAAACTTCAAAAGCATACTGCGATTCCAAGGGGCGTACTTCAATGCTCTCTCTTAACCGCTTCGCGACCGCGCATTCAAATGTCGCAAAAAGAGGACCCCAACCGGGACATATACGGGATTGGTAGGACAGTAAAGTACTCAAACAGTCTCGAAGCAGCTTTCAGACCCCTTCAACGTCCCCGTCATACTATTGAATGATTACAAAACGGTGCACCCGAAATCCTTGAAAAAAGCATCAACCCATGGGAATCTTCCCCATGACCACCTCACCAAGAAGCATAGAAAACGCGGTTGGGCACAACTTGATGAAAATGTCGAACCAAACAGAAAAGCTGCCGTTGCGACAGGAAAGCCGAGCGCACCACCACCTCATTTGAATTTTTTAAATCCGATTACAATTTTTTTGTGAATTTTTCAATTTTCATACTAGGCATCACAATGCATTCCCAGTTCCCTGATATAATTCTCCACTTTCACAGAATTCGGCAGAGACCTCAAATTAGTATTGATATTCAGTTATTAGAGGGACCAGATCCGCATTTTGGCGTCCATCAATACGAAATTTCACGTACCGTCATCTTGATCGCTCATTTCCTGTCGTGTCATCGCTGCCATGAAGCTAGCTTGACGAGGGGTATTTCTCGGAGTGATTCCGCAGTCAAGATCATCAACGACGGAATCGTCCGGAAGCGAAAATGTCGACGTCGTCGAGTCATCGGTCAAGGGTATTTTCTTCATACTCTGAACGATTATAGAATTATTTCCGAGAAAAAGAAAGCATGATAGAGGCAGAAAAACAGACTACGGCTTGTTTCCCTGCGCCCTTTCCTGCTTTCTTCGTAGAACACTTTTAATATGTGTGAAAGCGAATAAACTGACTAATCGCGAATCAATCTTTTCCTAATCAGTAAATGAGCTTAAAAGGTTCTTTAATAAGGAGCATAGAGAAGTAGCGAAAAAATTTGAGTTGGACACTAACTATCTAGAAAGCCCACCGAGCTTAATGATACACACTGCTTTTGTCGTCTCATAACTAGAAAAAAAGGCATAGCGTAGAAAAGCAGAGCGCATTTACCAAAGAAGCAGTGTGAGCTCTGCTTCTCTGCACTCTGCCTATTTCGCGATAGCAGCGATACAGACTTTTTATGCATAACAGATTGCAAATTTTTCTTAATTAAACGTAGGAAAATCTTCACCTCTGAGGACAAAAATCCATTTTGTCCAATAGCAGCACTTGGAAACATCGTAGAGTAGCCATTTTGAGAATGGTTTACAAATGGGGCAAGATAGGAATCCTGAAAAATCGATTATCGATCTTTGGCATCTTCCTGCACAGTGAGCTACCTCAAGACGCTCTTTGCTATTGTACTTGGCTAACTGATCCTCAGGGTTGTTTCAGGTTTTTTTTCCTTGAATGTTCGTGGATGGGTAGAGCCACTCTTCGAAAATGCGCACATTCAAAAATATGCCACCAGGCCTTATAACATGACACAAAATTTAGAAAGCCTTCAAATAAATGAAATCAAAAACCCATTTGTACAATGGTTCATTGATATCACTTATGCCGCTCGACAAGATCGAATCCTGACCTAATGACACACAAAACAGACGGTTTCGTCCCACCCCTAAGGCCTGGGATCGAGCAAGTATTCTGAAAGATAAGAGACGCCTACAATAACTACTCCATGAAGATGGTAATCGAGTAAAGCTACCTTCAAAGGTTTTGGACAGCCAGCCCAGGTCGGTCGAATATTAGGCTTCGACAACGGCTCACGATCAAGGACCGTCCATACGGACTGTACTGGTCGTAGGACCAACTGGCTGAAATGTAAGACAGTTGTGTGAGGTACGTTCATCCGGAGAAGGTTTCTCGGAAGGCAATTGTTTGATTTGTTCCTATAATTGCGCAGATAGGTAAGATTCAATGAAAAAGAAGATTTCGAGAGGTAAAAATCGCTCAGCCACTGCAGTCGCTAGCTCGATTTCAGGAGTTTCTAGCCTAAGATGAGCACGAGCTCCAGCTTCTTACAATTTCGAACAATTATGAAAATTATGCTCAAAAAATTGATTCATTAAAGATTATGGTAACGAAGTATAAAAGAATGACCAAAACTGTGAAGCGGAACAGAAAATTACAAACATAGTAAAGCAAGATTCGGCAAACATAAATATACCGTACCTGTAAGGTGGAGGGGCATGTTTTGGTTGGAAAATGACGTCGTAACTGGGTGGAGATGGAGGCGGAGCGTCATCGTCAGAAATCCGAATTGGACGAGATCGTTGTTGATACGGTCGCATCTCGTCCAATAACGCTTCGATTCGCGCTTCCTGAAATGTTCGGATTACGGTGCTTTATGTCACTCTAAATTGTTTGTTCTTCGTAAAAATCTGATGTAAATGGGAGCATGGTTTCATCTTTAGGGCTTATTACGGTACAGTATCGCCACCTAATGATAGCCAGTATCTTGAAAGCGGTGTCTACTCTGGACACATTTCTTTCGAAACACTCCCCCACGAGTGGTTCATCGAGGGCAATTGTAAATCAAAGTGGGAGAATCCACCAATGAGGAAACTTTCGCAAGGGTAGCTCCGGCCACGTGCATCAATTCAAGTTAAAGCCGTCCTTCTGATACCAATGGATTGAACCGTTTACAACAGAAGAAATGGAGGTGTATACAGCAACCAATGAATTGTCAGCTATCGTAACCTCTATATTTCGTTAGAGCACTGCGCAACCGACTAATGGGGTTTGAGCTTAAAACGGCTGTGGCAAATGCTTTTGAAGGCAACCATTCATCTCAACTGAGTGTGATAGGGCCAACTTTGCGAAAATCCTCATGGAAAACCAGTATTTCTCCTTCTTGTTCCCCAATTTCTTAAAAAAACTCTATTTCTTCTTAATCTCCTCTCACTGCCTTAATAACTTCACAGTAGCTTCAGGATGCATTTTGATAAATGATAACGTGGCAAGGGAACAGGCTACTGGATCAAATTGGCAAGTGGCGAACGGTAAGGAAAGAATTGGAAAAAGTAGAAAGCACTGAAAAGCCAGAGAAATGATCTCGAATTACCTGTGTGAGCGTGTGGTCACTTCGCGACGAGCGCAACGGCCGTGATGAACAGTAATCCATCTGAAAATGACGTCATTCACCATGTTTTTTTGACGATCACGAATAGCACTTATACAGAACCAGCTCTATGCAACATCTCCGTCGTAAAGCTCAGCTTTAAGGCCCAGATAAACTGGTTTGGCGAAGTTGCCGAAGCTTCAGACTCAGCCTGCTACCATGTAGCAACGTTAGAGCCGGAGGAAAACAAAATCAATCATTTCTGATTCTTACTATGTAGAGAGAAGCGCGGCGGGTACTGGAGAGGAGTTCGATTTCCGCCAAGTATACCATTCACTTGAAGGTCGGACCAAGTAATGGAAGGGGAAGCTTCCCTGGCCCACAGTATAAACCTATAGGTGGCAAAAAGACTCTTGAACACATACCAACCCTATGAGTTCAGACTCATGATGGGTAAGAGGTGAGGTAAGGTTACAATTCGGGGAAACTCCGACAATTTTGATCCGAGGAAAAAGTCAACAAGAAGCCAAATGGACAACAGGCCGGTCAGCCAGTTCATCAGCCACAAATTGTACTTTAAACCATGGAAACAAGTTGTTAGGGGTACACAGTGAAGTGTGAGTTTGAAATGAAACGAACTAGACGGCAGAAAGGGAAACCAGTAGCTAAGCCGATTACCCTTGATATATTCCTCTGTTCAGGGACGCCGCCGCCACATACCAAGCCGGCGCCGTCCGGTTGCTAACGCTTAAACTTGAGAAGCCGTACACAAAAGCTTCTTATTGCAATCTAATGGGACCACCTGAAGGCGAATTTTGTAGGGAAAATTGTTAGATGGTGTGGTGAGCGCCAGACAACGAGAGCACAACCCAACACACACCCTGCGTCTCTAACCAAATCAACTTTAATATCAGCCCAAATCAGTGAAATAGACAAAAAAAAAACAACTAAGAGAAGGAAAATAGAAGGTTAGCTGATTTTCCAACCAGTCTGAACTGAGAGGCTGTCAAAAAATTGGATAAAGGCGAGTTGCGCCATGCTCACGTCTAACCCCACTAACCGTTGGATTGGTTGGAAGGTAACTGATTAAACACATGAATCTAGTCCCGTGACGCCCTTAGTTTTGGGTGTTTCTGGTCCCGATATTTCCATCCTTGGAAGCACATCAGATACCAGTTTGAATCATTTCAATGATAGAGCTTGTTCTTGTCGAGAGCAGGAATCGAACAAGCTGGCTTGAGTAACAGACATAAAGATCATATTATTTAACTACTCATGTCAAGGCAATTGGAATAGATTTTGGGCAGAATGGACGCCATAAAAGGCCAATCAACCACAGTTATTAGTATTATTACAATATAGAGCCAGTTACAAGGTATACTCGTAGAGAATAGAACCGGTTTACGAACTATTCGATTGTACAGCCTGCAGTCACTGTCACCACTTTCTGAAATTGGAGTAACTAGAGTTTTGGCCGGGCCATTTCACCAGAATAGTAGAATGTGGTATGCCCTAATCATTGATATAGAATAAAGGGGAAGAGGCTGGCCCATATAGGGCGGTTTTCCCCTTATTCAAAGCTGTTTAGGAAATTTTGCTTCTATAGAAGTTCACGACCCACTCTCAACGAAGTGAGTAAATAGGTAAACAACCAGAAGTAAACAAACAAATAGACAGTCAAACAGATAAATGAACGGGTGAGGAAGCACTCAGTTATAAATACTCAGAAGCTCAGAACGTCGGTAACCCTTACAAAATATGAGATACCTCACAACCAATTTGAGAGGACGTTGCGCGCATGGCGACACCAAGGAATGACCACAGACGTAGATATTGCACATGATTTTGAATGATTCAGTCCCAACATCCATGTAATAACTAGCGCAATTTTGATCAAAATCATAGGGGTGGCGCATTGTAGGGAAGGAACGAGTTTAACGTAGGCCACACCTCAGACTAATTTTTATTATTTTTTAAATTATTTCCGAAACTTATTTTTCATTACTGACATTTATTTATTAAGTCAACACGACATTTTGGTTACGAAAAGCTAGAAATCATCAAAAAAAAAAAAGAGCGAAAATGTACTACCACGCGTGGTGTGGCGCAGTGGAAGTCAGTGCTGCTTCGCATGAGCAGTCGGATTGGTTCGATTTCTACTCAAACAAAAAGTCTGCTGATGTTCACATATTGGCCGCTTCACGTCACGTTTTTGATTGATAGCCTACGACAGCTGCTTCATCCTCCTACTTCTGTAAGTGCAGCTAAGAAAACTAGTGCATGGCGTATCCAAAACAGTGACTAGCAGTAGCACCCATCCTAGACGTATTGCTCTTCACTTTGAGAAACTAATTATTCAGAAATAACTATATATATATCTACATAAATATGGAAGAAGAAATAGAAAATATAGCGAGCAAACTGACCGAGATAGTGTTCCAACGATTGAAGATAGAAAAAAAGTTGGGCAGAGTTTGAACAGATTAAAACGGCGATTGCTGAAGACTGTGTCTCGCTACGAGGATCATTTGCTCTGTACAAAATCGTAGATGTGAATGTGACTGAGCCTGAAACTATTCAAAGTCAGTCATTTTCATCGGACGAATTGACTGATGGACGTACGGCGAGACAACATCTAGAATATTCAACAGCGATAATTAGAGCAAAACACGCTTGACCGTGGAAGTATCGGTAAGAAAAGTAAAACTGGGGTGCTACATTGATCGTCTGCTCTAATTACATCATAAGCGGAGTTGATCAGAATGTAGGTTCGGTAGAATCCCGAGAGAACTGACTATGACTTTTCTTGATCAGCAGGTATCGCCTATTAATTCAGATGAAAGAGAAGTTGAATTTTGATTCACCCAGACAAAGAACTTTCCCTGTCCCACCTATCCATGACTGCGTCCCCAAGGAACCCCTAGTCGATCCCATTCGTCCAGATTATACCAACTCTTTATGACAAAGGTCTTTCCCCTCTATGATGGACGGTGAGTCTTTCTCTCGATCAAATGAGAGGAGGAATTTCAGTTCTGACACCTTTCTTTGGCTAATGACCCGAGCAAAGCTTCCTTATTCAAAGAGGCAACAAATGTTAGTCCTTGGATGGAATCTGGCGTAAAATTGAAAACATTCTAGAAAAAAACGTCCCGTACATGAGAACAGACATCATATTTGAAGTTCTATTGAAACTCGGGTAACTTGAAGGACATCTGTAGGTAAGGGAGGTTATAACTCCTGAACTAACAGCCCCAAGGTAAACTTGGTTAGGACTGTAGGCGGAGGCACACTGCAAGCTCTCATATGAATAGCCCTCAACATACGGTGAAACCTACATGAGATCATGAACCCTGCATACCAGCCTTTAGGAGAACAAAAAATGAATATTCGCTCTCCTACTACTGGTATACCAGAAACCTTCCCTCATGACCATCATAGGAAAAAAGAGAATCCGGTTGGATTAACGACGACCAATATGATTACAATAACACATTCATATCGCGCCTGACATACCAATGGATAGTCGTAAAGTCGCCGGGCGTCAAACTTCGCGCTCCAGGCGATTACATGGGAAACCAGTGACTTCCCCCTCCCAAGTAGGGCATATCATCAGTTCAGAGTTATCCGAACAACCCATTCCTTCTAGGTAAACCAGAAAACGTGTGTGTGGAAGCGGTGCATTTTGAATTTGACCAACAATATCGATCGGAATATCAGGTTATTTTCAGGTAGCCTCGCCCACACAGACGCAGAAGATCAAAGTTCGGGAGGGGCGACAAGGGGGTGGAACTACTTCCGCGGCGATAATCCACTCACCTACAAGTAAGCAAACATCACTCTGACGGGTCGTCAACTCGAGCTTTACTCACTGAAAGGCGTTATCAGTGCTATCACGTGGTCACTGATCAGGGCCTACGTTGAGACAATCATGGCTCACCAGCGAAAGTACCGTAAAACGCTTATCAGCAACAATGAAACTATGAAAGCGGCTAAAAAATTCTCATTAAAAATAAAAAATGCTAAAAAATGATGAGGAGGATGTGTAAAAACCTCTAACCACACAGCAGGGAGTGTTTGAAGAAAATCTCCCCCATAAGGGTTTCTGGCAAGCGAAGTGGAATGGGCTACAAAACTCATTGGACAAGGACTGAGGCCTAGAGGGAAAGCTGAAGGGGAAGATATATGATATCGGAGAAGGACGCGCCGAATGAGGCGCCTTATGAGGAACAGGATTTCGCCCATGTTCCAACTGGAAAGAGGTTTGGGTTCAAGTTTTCATACCTGCAATGTGCAGGAATGAACACAAGTCAGGGACGACGAGATTGGAAGGGACTGTCGCGTAGGAACTTCTGTACGTTTGAGGTCCCTTCGCACGGTGCGAGCCAATCTTTGAGTGTGAAGAAGCATTTTGAGAAAAATTATGATTTGATCCGAAAAAACTCAATAACGCTGGCTGGATAGGAATTTTTTTCGTGCGCAGGTGAAAGGTGAATTGCGGAGCGAAGCGGAGGAGTTCACTTTTTACATAGCTACCTATTAGATTTCATTGCATTTTTTTATTTTGCACGAAATTTAAACCCTTAGCCAGTTATGGTGAGATGTTTTTGTTGAAAACCAATTTTCTATAGTGGTTTGACTTGGTTACTTTTAGTATTCTTTTCAGGTGCGTAGTTACCCCAATCGTACAGAATTTTCTACATTCCAGGGACTAATTCAAAACGTGGGAACACTCCAGGATAGGAGATGGTCTTAGTGGGAAAGAGCCTGGTCCGAGAATGATTTGATTTGGAGGTTTATCGAGAAAGGTCGCATCAAAAAGGGCCCGAAAAGATTAAGAAAAAGAGCCCACGGAGTCCAAAAGTAAACATAAATGGAAAGAAATGTTCATACGGGGAATAGAATGGAAGGGCCAAGAGGCGGCTAAATGAAGAAAGAAGCAAGTTGATACCGGATATTCTAAGCAATTTCAAAAGCCCCAAAAGTTTTGGAAGCAATTTAGAAGTGAGCATTCCGCCAAATTCAGTAATCAATCGAAACTGCATATGTATAAAGGGGAAACTCATTCCAAACTCTTAACTACGACCTACAATGGAGTGGCTGGGGTATTTGAAAAGCTCAGATTTCCTTCGGAGTAATCCCTTGTAGGCAATGTACGATGGCAAAGGACAGGCACATTGGAAAAGGGTAGGCGCGGAGGTGGAAAGCGTACAGAAGGTGTTCCCATCAGCTCCACAGTCACAACAAATTCTTCAACGCTTTTTTATCGTAAAAAACCGCGACAACACCGCTATGCACTTTCGTGTTGATGGCGCTATAAATCTTTGCTTTGTGAA